CACACACACACACACACACACACACATACACACACACATAATATATATATACAAACACACACATAAACACACACACACGGATATGTGCGCGCACACACTCAGGACGGAAAGATTTTTCCTCCATTTTTGGTACCAGTCTGAAGGCATAAGATAACAGCTTTCATACCTCCATACGAAAACAAAGTCACTTCATTTGATGTCATTTTCATGGAGCCAGTAAGGCCAATTTACACTTCCACAGTTATCACTTCCTCTTATTGTGAATGTTCGTCTGTGGTGTAGCAGTCAGGCGCCTTTCCGTCGCATAATAAGTCGGGAAATCGATTCTCGCCTGAAGAGTTTTTTTGTTCCTTTTTTTTTGCACCGAATATCTTCATCCATCTGCTGGGACGTTTTATACCTTTCGGCCTGTGTTGGCCTTAACAGGAAGGGCCAAAACAGTCCATTTTCTTTTTAAAAAATTATGATATTGAAGTGTCGTAAATTTGATGCGTTTCGACGTCACTGGTAGTGTTGTGAAGGTAAATAACCGCATAAAATTTACAATGCTAAAACATATTATGAAGTTATTTCCCTTTATCCAAATGGCAATGCCAACCAATGTATCGTGACACAAACACCCTGATAAAAGCCTCCAACACATTATTCCCTGGCGTCAGTGGTGTCTTGATTAGGCTCTTTACTATCGCACGCAAAGGACTTCTGTTTGATCTCTGACTGCAGATTTTGGTTTTGGCGACGAGGATGGGATCTAATTGCTAGTAAGAGCAAGACCCTGTTGAAACCTACAGAGCAAATCCCAGCCCAGCCGACTGGTCCAGATAAAAGACTTCGACGAAGCAACAAAGCCTTCCTAAACCTGGGGAAGCAACAAGCCAAGCTGCCTGCCTCTGTCACAAGCCTTCCACGAAGCAAGAAAGCCTTCCTAAGCCTTGGGAAGCGACACAGGAGTCTGGTCGAACATCGAGAGGACAGCTTGGTGAGAAATAATTGTTCGTATACGGCTCACGTTACGATCAGTCTACGGAGACTTATCAGTTCGCTCATTGTCTAAAGTTTGTACACTTTTCGCTTGTCGTCTCGACTTTCTCCGCCCGGAGTTGGTCAAATTTGTATGGCACACTTTAGAAGTTTATCCTCATTACTTGCTATTCCTGACGTCATGGGTCCTTGGCACTCGTATTTTATTTACTTCTTGTGCCGGTCAAGTGAAGTTTTTCTGATGATCAGGGCCTAAAGGTAATGTCGGTAGGACGTTTTTCTCGCGCCTAACAGACATTAAACTCAATCCCAATCTTTGCTGTCCTTTGTTGAAACCAAAGCCAAACCACCCCTTCCATACTTTAGCAGGAGAGCGTGCATAATTTGAAACCTTGGCCGATCAACGTCTTGTTTTGTTTCCTGTCCTTAGGACAAAACAGCGAGAAAAGGGAAACGTGTCAAAAGGCCGATCAACGTCTCGTGCTGTTCTCTGTTCTTCTAAGAACAGAACACCGAGAAGGCGCGAACCGTAAAACGTAACTTTGGCGACGTAACAAAGCTGCTACCAGTCAGACACCGTCCAGTCGTCATATTTCTCTCTCAGCCACAGGAAGACGTTTCATCCTGGTGACAGATCACAAGCCGCTGATTGGCCTCTTTGGACCAACGAAGCCAATTCCAGCCCTGGCAACAAATCGACTTGCCAGATGGGCTCTGACTCTGAGCCAATACGACTTCACCATAGAGTATCGCAAGATATCAGCGCACGGCAACGCAGACGCCCTGAGTAGATTGCCACTAGGGGCGGTTCCGATCCATCTTTTGACAGGGAGGAGATTGGTGCAGACTCAGCAACTATCTGCACCATAAAACGTCGGTCGACACTGCACAGCTTGCCCCGAGCACCAGAAGCTGCCCCCTAAGCAGCCGTCTCACCCATAGATCACCCCCGACGAACCTTGGAGCCGCGTCCATATAGACCACGCCATCAACTTCAGAGGTCACAACTGGCTGGTCATTCTCCAAGTATCTATGCATCCACCTCATGTCCTCGATAACAACAAAGGCAACTACCCGGAGACTCGACGAGGACTTTGCTCACTTTGGCTATCCACACGCCATTGTGACGGACAACACCACCTGTTTCTCGTCAGCCGAGTTCCAGACCTGGTGTGAGCAGCGGGGCATTCAACACCTGCACGGAGCCCCTCTCCATCCCGAGACGAACGGAGCAGCAGAGAGACTGGTCCAGACTTTTAAGCAGTCTCTCGAGAAGTCTGACTTGCCTCCCGCCGACGCCCTTCGGGAGTTTCTCATGCACTACCGCCGCACACCGCTGGCCAGTGGTAGTAGTCCCAGTCAGCTCCTGAATGGACGTCAGATCCGTACGACGCTCGGTGTCATCATCCCAGCGCAGAGGCAGTAATATGTCATGTTAGTATTTCATATTCTTTGCCACCGTTTACCATTAGGCTTTACCATCTATGTGAGAATGACTGAGACGTGTGAGTGTCAATTATTAATGAAGGCATGTATTCAGTATCATGTAAATAATCTAACATGTTGTGTAGATATTGTTCCTTTTACATATTAATCAGAAATAAATTGGTTATGTTCGATCCAAGACGAAACTCCTGTGTTCCTGTTTGATGCTCAAGTTTGCTGTTACAAGTTTCCTGTTAAAACCTACAAGAGTCCATAACACATAATAAAAGAGTTTTTTTCCCTCTTGGTCTAGACTGAATTTAGAATGCTCATCAGTGTACATCAAGATATAATATTATAGTCAGCAATTAATTGACTTGTTTTCTTAAGTTTGATTCAATTTACAAGATTAAATTTGTTAATTAATTTATTACGCATCTAGACATAAGAACAGGACAGACCAATGAAGAGTTCGAGCAACATTATGTACCCAAACTTTTACGACAAGCCCTCTTTTTCTAATTTTCCTTGTTCTTGTTCTTGTTCTTGTTCTTGTTGTTCTTCTTCTTCTTCATCACCTTCTTTTTTTCTTCTTCTTCTTCTTCTTCTTCTTCTTCTTCTTTTTCTTCTCCTCCTCCTCCCCCTCCTCCTCTTCCCCCTCCTCTTCCTCCTCCTCCTCCTCCTCCTCCTCCTCCTCCTCCTCCTCCTCCTCCTCCTCCTCCTCCTCCTTCTCCTTCTCCTCCTTCTTCTTCTTCTTCTTCTTCTTCTTCTTCTTCTTCTTCTTCTTCTTCTTCTTCTTCTTCTTCTTCTTCTTCTTCTTCTTCTTCTTCTTCTTCTTCTTCTTCTTCTTCTTCTTCTTCTTCTTCTTCTTCTTCTTCTTCTTCTTCTTTTTCTTCTTCTTCTTCTTCAACTTCTTTTTCTTCAGCTTCTTCTTCTTCTTCTCTTCTTCTTCTTCTTCTTCTTCTTCTTCTTCTTCTTCTTCTTCTTCTTTTTCTTCTTCTTCTTCTTCAACTTCTTTTTCTTCAGCTTCTTCTTCTTCTACATTAACAGTTGTATTGTAGAAGACATAGTGTTAGCTGCAGCTGGGCAGCTGTAATAATAGTAGTGGTAGTAGCAGCAGCAGCAGCAGCAGCAGCAGCAGCAGCAACAGCAGCAGCAGAAGTAGTAGTAGTAGTAGTAGTAGTAGTAGTAGTAGTAGTAGTAGTAGTAGTAGTAGTAGTAGTAGTAGTAGTAGCAACAGCAGTAGTCGTAGCAGCAGCAGAAATAGCTCTTGTACTTTTGCAATACAAAACTAATACTTTGAATCAGGGGTGGTTTGTTACCTGGGCATGATCGGCGGTGCCGGTCAATTTTTGTCAGCTGGACTGTTGACAAGAGATTTATTGCTGATGATGATTTTCATTCAGTTTTAAGTAAATCCAAATAAACAGGTATCAACATTTAAAAAGCATCTTGCCGATTTGAAGGTGTTCAAATAGACAATTGGGATTCACTGCTGTTTTGTCGCGACAGAGCCTCATTCCTTCACCTATGTTTATCGCATGGCTCGTAACTTTAAATCGTCTCCCGTCAAGCCGTCACGTGGCGGAACTTCGTATGAGGACAAACGAACACGGCGGGTACAGTGATGAAGTCAGTCCTATGGACAAAACCATCGACTGCCCTAAAATTACGAAACAAGAAACAAGTTAGACTCATGGGTAGATCTATAACATATATAATCTAGTACTGACATCTCTGCTTCTTTTCTTTGTGTTTGTGTATTCACATCTAAAGTAAAATTTAATTTTAGTTGGAATTAATATTTAATAAGATACTTTCCGATTTTTTTGGCGGTTGAACATACAATACAATATGAATTCCGGATTTCTTTTCATTCACAATTCACAAGTCGCCGCCTCGAGTAAGATTCTGGTGTGATAATAATATCTCCAGGTCATATCTGGTCCCGTTTCACTTTGATTACCCTGTCAAACAGGGTGTGTTTCTGTGTGTGTGTATGTGTGTGTGTGTGTGTGTGTGTGTGTGTGTGTGTGTGTGTGTGTGTGTGTGTGTGTGTGTGTGTGTGTGTGTGTGTGTGTTTTGCTGTTCATGTGTATAGAAAGGGATAAGGATGATAGAAAAAGGGAGAAAATGGAGAGAGGCAGAAAGAAAGGGAGAGAGAGAGAGAGAGAGAGAGAGAGAGAGAGAGAGAGAGAGAGAGAGAGAGAGAGAGAGAGAGGGGGGGGGAGAGGGGGGAACGAAAGAAAAGTAAACAGACAGAGAGATAGACTGACAAAGAAACAAACAGACGAGATTAACAGAGAATATAATTGATCAATAGATTGCAAGCAGTAATGAAAGATGGAGAGAAATATAATATAGATAGACAGTCATGCAGACAGATAGACAGATCAAATGTAGGTCGAGTTAATGATATTAAAAAGCACTACCTGGAACACTACAACGTCACAATGAGAACAACAGAAAAGCGAAGTTAATTTTTTTTTAAAATTCAGTTCTACACAATAGTGGCTTCCTACTGTCAGTACAGAAACACCCCCTTCCTTTGTCGCCTTCAGTTTGGACAGATATATACAAACATAAGTACAAGAGTACATTTATAAAAACAAATCATTAAAAACACACCTGCAGTCAAACTCTAATCATGATACTTTTTGGAATAAGTGCATGATTAGTATAATCCTGTCTTCGGAACAAAACTTCCGAAAGCAGCAGGTTATATAACTTTCTCTTCTTTGGGAAAAATATTTTTTTCTCGGTTATTACCCTTGGTCTCGACAGGCTGCCACTTGGATGAAAGTTAGCACTTTCTGTTTCGTGTCCCCCTCAGGTAAATTGGTCGCTTTTAAGCACAAGGGGGCTATCCCATAAAATGCTGTTTTGAGAAAATCAAAAGTAACGTTTTTGCCCCTTGTTCAGTTTCTTTAAAAGACAAGTATCTATAACCAAACAAATATTATAAACACCAATGCAACCAAACTTCTCCTTTCAGTAGGACAATGCCCACTTTTGGTGTAGGTTAAGAAATTTGGAAACCCTTGAAATCTGGGTTAGCCCGCTTGTCCTTAAAAGTGACCAATTGGAGTTGAAGTGTTTGTTCTTGTATCATCGAGGAACGGTGTAGTCACTCAATAACTCTCATCTCTCTCAATAATTACTACTCACTTTAAGAAAAGTCCAGTCTGTAAACCAGTGCACGAATTAATTCTTGCGGACAAATATCCTCAAGACGTTAACAATTTGTTGAAAACTGATATCTGTTATCATAAGGCCATTCCGTGTCTGTTGTGCAACAATTCGACTAATTCTTGTCGTACGCAGGTGGCATGAGTTCGATTTCCAAGTTGAGAAGTTTTGTTAATTAATTATCTTTACCATTACTATTACTTTTAGTATTTCTACTACTACTGCTACTATTATTAGTATTATTATTATTAGTAGTAGTAGTAGTAGTAGTAGTAGTATATA